AGTGGCCTTCTTTCTTGAATTCACGTGTGATGTCCTTTCTGGTCCCGGCGTTCAGATTGTAGTCCGCTTGTGTTTCTTAAAAGCACCAGCCCGTCGTCCCTGTAGAGTCCTACGTTGTTCTTGCCGTATTTTTCGCCGAGGTTATTCAGGAGGAAAAGCTCGATAAGCTCGCAAACTTCCTCCGTCGAAGCTGCCCATGGTGACGTCAAACATGCTGCTTTGGTTTTTTTTGGTCCAGGCGGTCTCGTTGTCGAATAAAAGCGATTTCCGGCAGTGCATGATTATTTCGATGTCTTTGTCGCTGATTGTGGTGTGATTGTTGGCAAAAGAAATTGCTTTAGAGAGAAGGGATTCTGTGATGGATGGGTAGAAGCTGTCGATGTCGAACGAGGTGAACGAATGCTTTTGCTTGCTGGGTATGTCGGTGAACCAATTGATTACATCTGATGTGTTTTTCCACTGGTTGAGCTTCGTTGTTTTTCTGATTTTTGAGTTGATGTTGTCGAGAATTTGTTTACTGACTTTTCCGAGTTCACTTTTGGCGGGGTTTATGAGGCGGCATGTAGGGTGGCTGGCGAAGTTATCTTTATGGTCTTTTAGGGTGATAAAAGCTTCTAGTTTTGCGATCTGTTCTGCGCGGTCGTCGATTTTGAGCTCTTGGGCGATGGATTTTGCTTGTGAGTCAATGATGTTAGCGGCGTAGGTGCTGGCTTTCTTGTAGGTGGTTGTGATGCTGTCCCTCAGGAGTTTGTAGTGATGCGTCTTGTCAAGCTTGTAAAAGTTTGAGGTCTTGTCCGCAGGGATGAAGGCTTTTGTTGATTTCTTGATTTTGTTGATGTCTTCGTTGACTTTGTTCTGGAATTTTTTATTGGTGTTTCTAAACTTTATGTTGTGTACCATATCGAGAAGATCTGCTTCAAATGAACTTGTCTAGGTCGCTGTTCTGCGATGGGCACTTTCTTGATTTAAAACCAAAATTATCGCTGTTTGCTGCATCGTTGTTGCTTTGTTCATCGCGCTCGAAGAAAAACGCTTTCCATCTCATTCGTTTGATGACACTTTCTACTTTCTCTATCAATCTTTTCAAATAACTGTTCCTTGGTGGTATCGGTATGTTCTTAGTTGAATAATCGAATCGGACTTGGTCCATCTTTGGGTGTCGCGGTTAGACTACAGTGCTCAACTAGTCGTTTTAGGAGCGTTATAAATGTGAGGGTAGAGCTTACCTTGGCATAAAGTGCTCAATGCTGCGTTAGCAGAGCTGGGTATACATTAGTTTTAGAATCAAATCTAAGAATCTAAAAAGGCTTGAAATAACGGATTAGTCCCGTCAAAGGGTTGTTCTTAAATAATTCCATCATTACTTGGTTTGAAGAATCCCGGTCTCTTAATTACATGGAGCACTTTACATGTTTGTTAATTACTTTCGTGGGGGTGATCAGTTAGATTTGCTTCATTTCAGGAGGCTAGGTTTTGGTCACGAACATTAAGATCTCTAGCTCGACCTTCATTGCTGGTTTAGCCGTCCACAATTTGTACCGAGGAATAGAGAACTACAAAAACAACGTCATGGCTCTGACAAATAGCGCCATGAATGAACTGTGCAAGATTCTTCTTGTTACTGAGTTCAGATTCCACTGCAGAAAACAAATGAAACGAACCTCCCACGTGACTACGGCCTTCAACAAAACTGGCCAGGCTGTAGTCCAATACTTTTGTGGCCAGACCGACGAACTTCCCTTATCGTGCGACTCTTTCAAAGTAATGAGAGATGATAATTCAATTTTAGCAAGACGTTGCAGTGACTGGGGAGATGACGGTACGCAGACAGAAGTCGGGACGTGAGGGCATTACCTCACCGCCACTGACCCTGACGATGGAAGGTTGTACAGTTTCGCGGCATTTATTGGAAACACCTCTTATTGGCACTTAAGCCCGATCGAACGACTGTTATTATGTGATGATAACGGATTAGAATTACCCGGGCTATATTCTGGCGATTTCTGGAAAATATATGCGCGCTAAGCTATGCTTTAAAGATACTTTCGCGTCTTTTTCGTTTGACAAATAGATTCCATTTTGACGAGTGTCTGTTCAGTAGATCACAGTGTTAAAATTGTTTTGTATCGCCACTACAGTTGAATCTCGATTATTCGGACCCCGGTTATCCGGATTTCTCGATTGTCCGGACTTTTTCTCTGGTCCCATTTTTTTCATGAATATTTA